CAATTGATGATTTTTTGGTAATGGCTGCCAACCGTTTTTAATGGTAATGAAACTTGCTTTACCAATACCATACCATATTACCATCTTTAAACTTAATTTTCTTCATTATCAATTAATTCAAGTCATTCAAAATTCAATCTTAAAAACTCAAAATTATCTTAAAAACTTATTTTTTGCATACTGTTCCTCATCATCTTGAAGCATACAAATATATAATTATACAAAATATGCACACATCAAAAAAAAAAAAGAAAAAAGAAAAAAAGAAAGAACTAGCAATAATTGAAAACTTTGTAGAATAAAAAAAAAAAAGGAAAAATATTTGAATGAATGGTAAATTCGGTAATCATATGGTAAAAATGATAATGACCTCCAATACCAATACCGTAGCACAGGTCTAAATGATATTACTACATTACCATTTAGACTTACCATATGATAATTTACCATACCGTTTTCGCTGATAATGGAACGGTACAATGGTAATTGTGGCATTTATGGTATAGTGCCCAACCCTAAGGATGCCTATTTACATTAAAGCAGATCTTAACCTGAAAAATCTATGATGTGTGGCAATAAATCTTTAATGTGTCCATGTTTATTGGTTACATCTCTATTGCATTAAAGAACTAATTTTCCTCATTGTATATTTTCAATTTTTCGGTCGTGAGGTGGGGCTACTAAACCAGCAAACCCCATTTAAAAAAAAAAAAAAAAAAGATTTAAACACAATTTTTGTTTTACATCTTTTGAAATAATTTTACATATTATTTAAATAATTAATTATTTTTATTTATTTAAAACTCATAATATTCTATATATTTAATATCATGTGAAAATTATTTTAAAATGTCATATAAAAATATTGTTTTTATATCACAATATTTTATTTATCATCGTAAATTCTTCATCATTTATGATCATTAATTAGTTAAAATGTCTATTCATTTTTTTATATATTTGATAATAATAAATTATATAATAAAATAATTTTTTTCTTTTTCTAAATCTCACTCAAATTTTGAATTTAAATTTAAAATTTTCAATTTCAAATTTCAAATTTTTAATCAGTAAAACCTTAAGGGATTTAGAATGCCTATGCAAGGAAACAATTTTTTTTTTTTTGTAATTATAAAATTATTTAATCATTTTTTGTTTTAATTTGATGTGGTACGTACAATTAGTTATAAAATTTTGATTGTAATTAAATACTTATTTCAAATTGATTTAATTCTCTTATTTTATCTATTTATAATTATTAAAAAAATTTATTTATTATAATAATTTAAAATTTTCTTTTCATTTTCACCCTTACAATTAAACTAAAAACCCCTAACATATTTTTATCTTTTTTGGCATAATGTTAAATTAAAATACTAATATTTAATATCTTACTAAAAATAAAACATGACATAATGTTACCTTCATTTAGAAAGTGTAACAATTGAATCATACCCAAGTATTAATAATCGAGTCCATACTAAGAAAAGTCATATTATTCACATGTTAATGTAACTTGGATTGGTTTATGGGGCATTAATCTTTTCCCTTTTTTTTTTTCCGATTGGTTAATAGAAATTTTAATATGTAATTAGTCATAAGTAGTGAAAAGTATAAACTAACCCACTAGAATTCAAAACCAAAAACCACAGAGTAATATGCTTTAAAGTTCGGACTAAAAAAAAAAACATCGACTGTCAAGAAAGTAACTCAAAAATTAGAGACAAAATAACCATTTACAGTCCAGGTGACATTTTTTTGATCCAAACTAAAACACGGTATTCTCTTAATTTATATTCATATTCCATTCTTACATACAAACTGGATAAGTAAACCCATATTAAACAACACCTTTGGATCATACATTCTGTATCTTAATGCTCGAGGAGTGCATGTAATAAGCAACTCAAATTACATACGCATCTCAGCAAAGATGTTATTTAAGAACAACAAAAAAATCCACAACGACAAATTGAAATGCATTCCCCCGTTGCTTATACATCACACAGGAATGATGTTACTTTTATTTAGCCAGAAACGACAGTAACAACAATGACTTGAGAATGGTGACCGCCTCTTGATTTTAATGCTGTGAACTAAGCTAACTACTCCGACTGCAACAATTTAAGAGGAAGAGGCGCAGCTAGACCAACAGAGATAAGAGACAAAGGTAACTAAGCATTGCTAACAGAGTTGCTCTTGTTCACAGCTAGCTCCATGGGAGAATTAGTAATACTACCAACAGAGCCGAGGGTCTGGGAGCTCAACTGAGGGCTAGCTGGACAAGCTTCTGGATTACCAGCACTCAGTGCATGGATCGCATTTGAGCTCATCTGTTGCTGGCTCATAGGAGTTCTTTGATTAATTTGCTGTGGACTTGGTTGCTGCTGTGGTTGCTGTTGCTGGGATTGTTGGTTCAGTTGTGGAAGTCCTACTGTTGATGGTGAGCCTACTTGTGAAGGTGGTACAGCAGCCTGTAGTGATGAGGTTGTTTCCGGTTGCTGCTGCAGCAGTTGCTGCTGTTGTAATTGCTGTTGCTGCTGCTGTGGCTGTGATTGGTATTGCTGTAGCTGCTGTAATTGTTGGTGTTGTTGCTGATGTTGTAATTGTTGCTGCTGCATTTGCAAATGTTGCTGTTGCTGTTGCTGCTGCTGCTGCTGCTGCTGCTGCTGTTGCTGTTGCTGTTGATTCCCAAAAAGATTCACCCCTGCCATCATCTTTTGTGGAGCCATAGGCCCCATTGCTGTCCGTTGCATTGGATTCATGTTAGACGGGTTCAAATTCTGCCCCAGCATTGAAAGACCAGGAGAACCCGGTCTGGCACCTGACATAACATTTATGCCTGCCTGAGGAACCCCTAACATGCTTCGATTGGTATGCCTACCAAGTTTTGCCATCAAGGCAGCTTGGGCCTGGGCTGGGTTAATTGATCCTCGTAAATGTTGGCTTATTGCATTAATATTTGAAGTCATCGGGCTACCCATACCAGAAATAGGAGTCATCGGTGCTGAGATTCCTGTTCCTCCTGTTCCTCCTATTCCCCTTGCACCTCCGAATCCCATAGCATTGCCAAGGCCTCCAAACCTGACTGCACTATTGCCTATGTTTCCCATACTTACAGCAGTCCCAACACCCATCATCAATTTCCTCTGCATTGGCTGCTGTGACTGCTGTTGCTGCTGTAAAATCTGAAGTTGAAGAGGAGGCTTGTTGACAATCTGATTACCCAACTGCATGTTTGCATTCTGCCCAATGGCATTCAGATGTGAGAGAGAATTTGTTGTAAGCATCATTGGTGATCTCTGGAATTGTGGATGCTGCTGTTGAATCAAGGAGTGTTGGTTTTGTGGCTGCTGTGGTTGCAGCGGTTGCTGCTGCGGTTGCTGCAGGGTCTGTGGTTGAATTGATGGCTGTTGTTCTAGTTGTGGTGGCCTAGAAGGCATTGAAACCCCAGATAAATGCCCTTGAGACATATGTAAGGCCTGAGAATTTCCAGGAGGCAGCGTCCTTGTGTTTCCAAGTACACTCTGGGATGAGCCTAGAGAAGCATTACCACTACTAGCAGGCTTTGCCACTTCATTTGATGCCTGACTCAAACCAGCTTCTGTGTACTGCTGCATCTCAGCTGCTGAATTATTAGGAAAGAGTGCGGCAGCATTTTGACTGGTTGAGGCAATGTGCATATGGGTTTGTTTAAGCTGGATATTGTCTTCCACAAGAAGCCCAGCATGTTCCATCTGCAAAAGCAAATTATCTTAAATTCAAATGGAAAGAAAAACTGAAAATCTTGAATAAAATTTCTAGACTTTTAAAGAACATACCAATTTACAGAACTGTCGAGCAAGTAAATCTGCATTGTGCTGTTGCAGGATTCAGTCAGATGCAAACATCAGAAAAACAGAAGAGGAATTATTACTTGAATAAGATGGGTTAAATAAAATATCAAACTGCACAAGTATAGAAATTAGATGTTGCTATAATAAAATTAGCTTTGATTTGATAGGGACGATATGAAGTACCAAACCAAGAGAAACTTTATACACAGAACAAATACAGAATTGTCTTCCCAAAAGAACTGCAGTTTCTATGGAAAACAATTTACAGCAGCGCTTTACAGAGCAGAATGTGGACTCCAAAAGACAACATTAATTTTCATTTTCCAAGGAAAAAAAGAAAACAATGGAGACATTTATGATGAGGCAAAAATGTGTTGACAATGACAGGAAAGTCGAGCAAATATTAGTTGATAAATTGGAGACACAGTATGCAACTGAAGCACCAAGACTGTTTTTGGGGGACCCAAATAGAGGAACCAAGATGGACATAAATGCAAATTTAATGATGAATATGACAAGAGAAAACCGCATTAACAATAAATAAACTCCTAGCAAAATAGATCTAAAACATAGAATTCTACTTCAAGGGTTGATTTTAATGGTATAATTAGCAAAGAATCAGCAATTAGGCCATATCCAATAAACTTGAGGCCAAACCCCCTATTTGCACTCTACACATTATTTTTTTCTACAGTCAACACCCTCCATAATTTTCACCCCCAGTCAACACCCTCCATGATTTGAAACCCACAAAAAATCCCAAATTACCAACAAAGTCAGGTTGCAAATAGGAGGTTTGACTATTAATTTTTGGGTTTTTTATGGGTTTTAAGTTATGGAGAGTGTTGACCGGGAGTAAAAATTCTTGAGGGTGTTGACCGCAGGAAAAAATAATGTGCAGGGTGCAAATATGGGGTTTGGCCTAAACTTAAAAGGTGATTCTTCTTAAAAATGAAAAAGGTATTAGGGAAAAGAACTTACAGTATTTGGCAGTGTGGGCAGAAAGTCCTCTGCAGCAAGAATCTCTCCTTCATCCAAGTCTCCATAATGCATGGCTACAGTTCCATCAGTTGGCTTCATTGACATCACCATTCTTGAGTGTAACCTAGTAACTACAGAAACAACATTACCTGTGCAAGTAACATGTTTTAGGGAAGGGATCAACAAAATATTCTAGGACTGGTACCTAAAACAACAAAACAAACCTTGAGGTGTACGATCTTGCTGCAGAAAATTTATGATTCTTGTCTTGCAGTTATTCATGCTGCCACTAACAAGAGACTTTGAAAGTGGCCAGACATCATCTTTGAAGTCCTCATTATTGGATATACCACAGAGGAGAGTCGGTAGTTGCTGAACAGAATATTTGCTGGCTTTTCGGATGGGATAGTCATCAATCTTATTCTTTTTGCAATTAAGTTGATATCTGCAATTGAAACCATGAAACATGTAAAAAAGACAAAAGTATACATATTAAGTCAAGAAAGTCACAAAATATTCAGTAGAACAGCCATTCAGTTGACAGCATACTTCATAGTCACAGCATCAATCTTTGAGAACCTTTCAAGCATTGCTGGATCAGCCATAGGTGAGGTTCCAACTGAGGGGCTGCTTGCATTTAATGGAAGACTCATGTTACTACCACTGGAAGGAGATCCAACTCCACTCATTGCTGGGGTCTTTGGGATGGAATTTGATCTCCGCTTTGCAGCAGCTTGTGTGTGGTGTTGCCACTGCAGGGAATCGTTGGCACTTGAAGTCAAAGATAGGGTCCCACCAACAGCAGGAACTGAGTTGACTGCTGCCTTATCCTTTTGAGATGCTCCAAGTGCAGCAGTTGTTCCAACAGCTCCAAAATGAGGTCCCACTGAGCCACTTGAAAATTCCCCAGATTTTGATGATAATGGAGACTGAGGCAATGCTCCACCAGACAAACGGGGACTTTGCACTGGTTTCCTTTTTAACTGGTCCTCCTTTCTTGCATCCTTCTCAAGATGCTGACTTAAATTATTCCAGGGTGGTTGAGAGAAACCAGATCTCATGAATGCATGCTGTGACAATCGTGGTTGTAGCCGTGATTGCTGCGTGTCCAAATGGTTTGTATCTGTTTCCACTGCTTGCATATTGTTTTTAGTCTGACTTAGATCAGTTCCATTTCCATCCAATTTGTCTGCATCAAATTGCTCTTCCTTAGGACCAAATCTCATGCTTTTCTGTCCTGCAGCAAATGTCATGGCACCAACTTCCTGATTCAGTACCCCTTCAAAAACCTGCTGAGGATACTTTTGGATGCCAGTATTTGGATACTGACCTCTTACCATTTGTTGTGGGAGCAACAAACCATTCTTCCAGTTCATTTCTGCCCCAGGCAGGGCATCCACATGTGGCCCAATTTGTTGTTGCTGAATTCCATCTGGACCCATGGATGTAAGCCTTGATCTTTTATTAAAGTTTGATAGCGGTGATATTTGACCATCTGCATTCTCCCTCTTTCTAGGAAGAGAAGCACCAGAATTCACACTGTCAGCATATGGCATTGCCATATCTTGCCCAGTAGGGGAAACTCCTGATGCATTAACAAAAGAGCCAGACCCTTGATTCTGCATGCTTCTTGTGCTTACAATCCCCATTTGAAAAGAGGGATCTTGCACAAAACTTTTAGGTCTTACCATGTTGGTAGGACAAAGATTTTGAGCATTCAGATTCTCCTGGACATGTGGCATCAAACTCCCTGATGTAATTCCAGCCTCTCCTAACCTGCCATTAGAGGATTCTGTCACTCTATCAATGCAAACCTTCTTTCCGTGGATCTTATAGTTAGATGCGACAGTAACTTCAGGAACCTCCCTCGATCTCTTTCTCCGCAGGCTATACAAAGCAAGATTAAGCTGGAAGTACAAAGTGGTTAAGAGAGAGACACTATGAGGTAATCAAGCAGAAGATATGAAATCACTATCTAAAGGAATTACCTTATTGGGAACAGGATTAGTACAAAGCCTGTCCAATTTAGGTGTAGGATCTAAACAAAGCTGTGGTTGCAAGGCTTTCAATATCTGTGACTCCACTTCCTAAAAGATAAACAGATATATGACATCACATAAAATGTCAAAGAGTTTGTTGAGAATGTAGGGTTGGTTACTCCACTAACCATTAAATCACCATAAGTCCAAGAATTATCTGAGATAGATGGGATATCTTTCACAACATTCTCCAAGGACATCCTAAGGCGAACTTTGTTGACAATAGGGGGCACATCCACAGACAAGACAGTAGATCCTTGTTCAAGCAAAGTTTTCCGATAATCTCGCACCTGCATAAGAAAATTGCCAATTTGAAATTTTCAAGTATAAATGGCACCAAAAATACACTCAATCAATAACACATGTTTCTTTAAGATGTCAAATCCCATTATTTTTAACTCACCTCACATACAAGCATCCCATTAATATATTTGCAAGGAATATCATCCAGAATGTCTCCAGGCAACCGGCCAGATTCAATGGCCTTGAAGTATAAAGCACATAATTGATGAAAGGAAGAGAAAAAAGAATAAGTAAAGCCCATATAGTGAAAGCATAAGAATACGATAAGGAATACAAAAATCAAGTTTTGCAGTTTGTAAGTGGCAACTGGTATCACATGGTTGCTTCAGTAAACTAAGATTAAAAATCTTCCTGAAACCCAAATTATTTCTTTTCCCACAAGTAGAAATGATCCACCTGTATGTCAGTTGACTGTGGCACCAAATGGGTCAGTTATGCTGTTCATCAAAAGTCAATCTTCACCGTCCTTTCCATTATGAATAAATGAGCTTATCTTAAGCCCAAATATAAATGAAAAGATATCTCTTTGGTTCACAAAAATCATACAAACATCTCTTTTCTGATGAGTAAGATCTGAACCAACAACTATCTCAACTCAACGCTTATAAGGAAAAATCATCCCTACCATTTTCATTTGGATGTATGTACAAATGGTAGATAACCAGAGGCTAGATTGAGTGGAACAGCCCTATCTTAACTAGAATTTTCACCTTCCATTACATGAATCATTTGATAAGCACAGCTTCCTTCACTACCAGATAGTGAAGCTCAAGAAAGAGAAAGCAAAATAAATGTAATGAGGGAGATTCAATTTCATAGATAAAAAACTCATTAGGACTAGCAATGAAGTTAACTAAATGCCCAGAAAAGGAAACAAGTAGACACTTACCGAGAAGAGAGTTTCAGATGACTTATCATATGGATGTAACTTTACACTATCTTGAATGTTAGCCTGATATGAAGTCTCATTCTGAAAATCCAAGAATCATAGAAATTTAAGAGCCAGATACCAGATTTGGCAGGAAGAATCTACTCATTATCTAGTCATTAACTTAGTACAACTGAATCTTATAAACAAACCTCTGACGGTTTTCCAATAGAATATCCTTCAGGGTAGAGGTTTAACGTGAAGGAAATTTCATGGTCTGTCAAAACATGAAAGAAGCAATACACAGTCAGGATACAAACAAACTAAGGTAACCAAACAAAGTTAATGTTAACTCTAACCTGCAGGAATAGCAAACCCTTCTTGTTGAGACACCACAGCCACACAGTCTCTGCCCTCAATGATGTCACCCTATATCATGATAAAATCCGAATTATCAGACAAAAAAAGCATGCAGAATATTCCACAAGATTTTCTATCCTTAAGTGCCTATTTATGCCTACAGAAACAACTTAGAACCTAGGAAACTAAAAGAAATATTTAAATCACCTAGATACAAAGAAGGGGAATAAAACTAAACTTTCTATTTATTTTCAGAGTTTTAATAATTCTGCCAGAAACAAAGGCTCAACTAGTTGAGACAGAAGGTTTAAGGTTTATAAATTTTTTTCTACCCAGATTCAAACTTCAATATTTACTTTTACTGCATTCGTAGAGCACTCAAATAGAACCTAAAAAGAGGTCATGAATAGAACACAGATTGCTGAACAGTCAATAGCAGCATATCCACATGTCCACTTAAACACATTTTGAGCATCACTTGACAAAGTAGCCAAAAGAAATTAAAGCCGATAAACTGAAAACTCATTTATGTTCTAAACCTTTTATGATGTACAAGTTTTCAAACCTAGGAACTTCACACCATCCCCAGCCACTTGCCAATGCCTTCAACTTTCAAGGTCTTAATATACTATCTTCATACCAAAAAATTTAAGAAGAAATTCTCAATAGATCATCAATCTTCAATTACACCCTCCATTCTGATACGAATAATGTTTACAAATTTTAAAAAGGAAGAAATCCCATTAACCATACAAACAATTTCACCACAGCTAAGTTGCCAGAAACCATATATGAATAAAAGCAAAACTGTAGATCAGATTTTTAAAATCTCATATTATTAACACTAGGATTCACAGCCAAGGAGGGAATGCCACCTTTCCATCCGAAATGCAGTAATGTAGGACTGACTCATCTATGCTTTGCAGATGATTTACTAGCATTCACAGATGGTTCAGCAAGAGCAATAGGTGCTGTTGATTCTATATTGAGACAATTTTATTTGGCCATGGGTTCGAAGGTGAACTACCATAAGTCAGAAATTTTTTGCTGTGGAATGCAACCTGATGTAATAAGGGAGCCAGCTGATTTGTGTGGCTTCAAGGTGGGAACCCTTCCTGTTAGATACCTTGGGGTACCAGTTATAACTGGAAGACTAACAGATGCTGCTTTAAAGCCTCTCATCACAAAAATAACTGATAAAATCAGTTCATGGACTTCCAGATATCTGTCATTTGCAGAGAGATTGCAGCTTATTTCATCTGTTCTTCAAAGCATAACAAATTTTTGGTGTTCTATTTTCATTCTGCCAAAAAGAGTAATTAAATCAGTGGAGGGAATTTGCAACGCTTTTCTTTGGAAAGGTAGAGGAGCCAAGGCAAGTTGGGAAACAGTATGTCAACCAAAGATGGAAGGAGGATTAGGCCTGAAGCCTTTGCAAAATTGGAATGTGGCCCACATTTTGCGATTTATTTGGCTGCTTTTCACCAAGGCAGGCTCTATTTGGGTGGCATGGGTGCAAACACATTTGCTTAAAGAAAAGAGTTTTCGTCAGTAGGAATTCCAGCAGACACTACTTGGAGTTGGAGAAAAACCCTAAAACTTAGAACATATGCTGGACCTCTGGTGAAGCATAGGATACAGAAAGGTGACACTATTTTTCTCTGGTATGATTCTTCGCATCCCAAGGGACCTCTTATTGAAGTATATGGGCAGAAAATTATACAGGATGCAGCCATTCCCTCTCAAGCAAAACTGTCTCATGTAATCCAGGGGGATTATTGGAAATGGCCTCCTGCTAGGTCCCCTGAACTGCTACAGATTCAAATTGCGTTGTGTGGAACATTATATCCTAATCAGGCCATGGAGGAATGAGGATCAGGTTATTTGGTTGGCTTCTCCATCAGGTTCTTTTCGAACAGGTGCTACTTGGAACTTCCTTAGAGAAAAAAGATCTAAGGTACCCTGGTTCAGACTCATTTGGTACTCAAATTCTATTCCCAAACATAGTTTTATTGCTTGGCTGGCTATATTAGATAGACTCTCTACCAGGTCTAGACAGAAAAATTGGTCTTCTTCCATTGATGACACTTGTGTGCTATGAGGGAATGCAAGTGAAACTAGGAACCATCTCTTCTTCTCCTGTCCCTACACTACTCATATATGGGAAAAGATTTCTTCTATGCTGGAAATCCCATTAAACTGTGTTTGGTGAGATGCTTTGGATTCGCTATGTAAGAGAGTGAAACATAAGGCTTTGTACAGCTCTCTTCTTAAATTAGGTTGGTGTGCATCAATATATCATATCTGGATTGAAAGAAACAGTAGGATACATGGACAGCTATACAGATCTCCTTCTGCAATAATTGATATGATTCAAATGGATATCCGAGACAGAGTACTAAGGTCTGTAAAGGAAAGGTCTTCTCTCATGTCAAGGCGAATTGCAGCTCAATGGGGATTAGAAATTTTATGTACAGCTAAGGTTTGAACATACAGTAGTTTAGGAGTTGTTTCATTCTTTGTACTGACATTAGTAGCAGCCTCAACCAAAAGAGCTGCTTTGTGTAAATTGTGGTGATTTTGGTAATAAATTCACATTTTACCAAAAACACTAGGATTCAAACAAATTTCTCTTAGAAAAAGAAAAGAACGGCTTCCCTATAAGTTCACGCATAGATCTCATGCAACAGATTTCATGAAACAAATAAATAACACGAAAAAGCAAAACCCAAAATTATTCCTCTTCCTTCTTCTCGAGCAAGTTTTCTCCTCTTTTTCTCCAATTTCCCAGAGTGATTGAGTATGAGAATATTTACCTGGAGCTTTCGAACTGGCAAACTCTCCCTGGAATTTTCAGTAGAATCATCAACTGAAGCCTCTGATTGAAGAGAAGGTTTTGGCCGGAATCTAGTACCGGTTTTTGAGACCTTGAAAGAGACACCCATTTGGATCTTATTGATGCTCGGATAATGAAATAGTGAAGAAAAACGCCAAAAACTAAAATAAAACTTATTATTTCTAAAACCCAGAAGGAGGTTCCAAAGACTTTGCTGTTTAACTTTATTATTTGGAACAAAAGCAAGAGGAAGCAGAGCCCAGAAAACTGCAGGAAACGAAAGAGAAAACCTTTAGAACAAAGATTTAGTTTTTCGGGACCTCAAACGGAACCCAAGTCGAGTTTTGAAACAATTAAAGTCTCCAACGCATCAAACAAGAGACCCACAAGCTTATTTGAAGAATCTGAGATTTCAAGCTCGTTTGGATCATGGAGGGAGAAAGAAAATCAGAGAAAATTACAATTATAACAACGAAAACATCAGCATCTTTCAGGAAGCTGATTGAATTGAATACGTAAATTTGGGAAACTGGGCGGTGATTGAATTGAGAAAAAAGGTGAGAAAAGTAGCCGGGCAAAAAGGAAACCCTAACAAGGGATGTCAGTTAGTTCAGTTGGGTGCATCTGAGAATAAGATTGCGAACCCTAAATTCTACAGAAGAAGAGGAGAAAAAAGACCCAATTCCATGTGGAGCCATGGATTTTATTTCTTCAATCAAAAACTGTGGATTCTGCTTGGGTATTTTTAGACAGCGTTTGGCTGCTGGCTGCCCCTCTTTTTCTCCTTATTTTGTTGGCGCTTTTTTTTTTTTTTTTTTTTTTCTAGCTACTATAACTTAAGATCAAGATCT